CGAAGCTGATGACCTTCATGAATTTACTGCTATGTCGTCGGTGCATTCATTTTTACTGCGACTCTACTGTGCTTGTCGCCCGTCACGCGGCCGTTGTCATGCCATTTATGGGATGTTGTTGCGTCAGGATTCCTCCGTCCCCGGCCTAGATGTGAAATGTTGGGCGCCAATGTCAGGGTTTATGTCTCATTCCAGAAGCAAAGTGATCATCTCCAGATATGTGGGAAGTATTTTCCATTGCTGAAGTGATGGTCGTGTCAGTCTATACTTTTTATCAGAATGGAGGTTCTTTATAGCTGATGTTATAAAGTGTAATCATCTGCTGGGCAACTCATACTGACTTCTTACAGTAATTCAGTGCGATTCCTTCAAATTTGTTGGTCACTAAGCGGATGTAGAACATTATTTACCTCCACACTGTCGATAAGTCTGATAGCATCTTTAATGACAAAGCTTGACAGAGATTTCTTTCTTCTTTAGTGGTCTCGATTTACGATTAGATTAATCCTGAACTACTCACATCTGACATTAATTCCTACTCTTTCCTGCTACGCTGTATTTATTATTATTTAGTGCGCTTTGCATTAAATTTGGGTTTATATTTATTCCATTAGATCTGGAGATTGATGCCGACTTCTAAAGTGTTGGGAATTTTTGCCGTATTTTTTGATTTACTTAAAATATTTGGGGTAAGTAGTAGGTGAGCTGACCCCTACGTGGTCGAGCAACTTGTTGTTCTGCCCACTGAGCTTTCGTTGCTCTAAAACATCACTTTGAATACTGGAAGATAACCTATTGATTATGCGCTTCGCATTCTCTTAATGGTGTAAAAATTGAGTGGCTAAACAATTTTAGCCTTTTGTATTCTTTGACTTGTTTTAAAAGCGGATTTCTTCTTTATCTTTCACCTATGCTGCCACTTCGTCGTTGGACAACTGTTGTACGGACGTAGTTTTGGCCTAGAAATACGGCATTCACCATCGAATACGGTCATATATCGCCATGGTCATTCTTGTTATTTTTATGTTTTCGACCCATTTTTGTCCTGTGTTGTTATTTTTACCTCGTCGTGATCTGTGATTAGATGTGCAGAAAAGGTTTCGCAAAAGAAGCGCTATGATATAGCCAAGATAATACCACACTTACAGTTTATTGATTGATCCATGCTAAGGATTCCTAGACGAAATAAGAAATATTTGTTATTTTTTCTTTCGAGATGGTCTAATGGCATCGGGCAAGCAGGTGACACTTGTGTGGTGCAGACGATTGCTTGCTGTCGCCGAACGAGTCTCTCCAACAGCGGTTAGCCAGACAACCAACCATCCCGTTCCCACCGCCCGTGCCTCCTCTAGGCCTAGTGTAATTATCATCGACAATGAAACAAAACTAAAAACGGAACTTAACTGCTTTGTCTGCATGCTATTTATTTATCCTGGTGACGAATCCGACATTCATTTTCTCAAGAATGGCATCATAAGTGCTAACCAAAAACAACGAGCCGGCGTTTAATCATCTTATCATTTTTTCATCTCTGCTTTGTAAATCTATCTTGTTGTTGAGTAAATGGTTTTTTTAAACAGTGCCGTTGTCAAACGTTCGTCCTGCACATTGGTCTTCAACGTTTTCGCCTCCCGAGCAGTCATACTTGTTTACTTCTTTCGATACTATTCAGTAATTTCTGTTGCGCTTATTTGAACGTTGAGAGGCCAGACAAACTCCAACGCTTTCATTTGGGTACTTCCTTAGCATAAAATGGTCTGTATAGAGCTGTATCGAGTAATTGTATGACGACGAGTCTGGCAAGTGTTCGATAACATTCTTCGAACTGATGCTCAGGCTATTTGTACTGCGTACGGCTGACATGTTGGAAATTCGCAGCGCTCTTAGTGTCAGTTTTAGTGAGTACTAGTGACCGTGGTGCGAGCCTCACCACCTTTGATGCCATTCGTTTTGTTTTCTTGTAGTATCATTCATCGAGGTGTCGATGTTCGTGTGTGGATTTTACGCCGACCACGGCTTATGGATTTGTCATATTCTCCTTTGAATTGCTTGTTGAACTTTGAATGAGTGCTGTTCTCTCTGAAATTCTAAGATAGTGCTCGCTCTGTGAGGACTGTCTGATTTCTTCATCACGGGCACTCGTCCTACCTTGTGAGTCAGTGAGAGGGAGGGTTATTGCCTTACGACTGACTAGGATTTGTGCAGGACGGCAACGATGCTTATGACAAGTCAGTCGGTCAATGGAGGACGATGTAACAGGCCCGCAAATATCACTCTCAGACTGCTTCAGATGTTTACTAGGTATTTAATGTTTCCGAAAATGTGAAGTTTTTAGATAAACATAGTTTGTGGTTTTTATTTGCAGTTTTTTTCTGTTTTGTTTGAGTGGAAATCGTACATGGCAAAGATTGAGAATGACTTTCTACTGTTTTTCAAGAGAGCTCTACTATTCTGTTCCCTCATTAGTAACTTACTACCGTACAACATTGCGAGGGAGCTGCTATGAATCGTGTCGTACGGCAACGAGTCTATCCCCTACATAATTCTCATAGCTGAGAAGTTGTTCCACAGGGCTATTTAACGTTTCCGATTCATAAGAGTCATCCGTTGCCTATGTTGACGACCTGGGAACGCCCTGGCACGGCTATTTCGTTGGGTGAGAAAAAAACTTGCCCAACCAGTAAAATTCCATTCGACTGGAAATTATACTGGAATTCACAGGTTTCACGAAGGTGGGCAATTTAAGCAAGCACGTAAGTTGCTTTCTTTTCTAGACTCTTTTTTCATTTCTTGTTCTTTTGTCCAGGCTTTTTTTTGTCTTAACGATTTTTGAGGAAAAAAGGGATGAATCCGAAGTAAGCATAGTTGTATTTTCTTCTTCAGTTTTCGTTTTCTTTATTTGTTAAATTTTTGCAATTCTATCACTGTTATCTCTTAGATGTTCATTTTTTTCAACGGTCTCTTTGCGTCATCTTTCTCTTCCTTTCTTCAATTCCCTTCCTTCTTTATCGAATTCTTCAGGCGCTTAAGAGTCGTTTATTAATTCGTATACTTTCGCATTTTTGCTTTACTAGAGAGGAATTACAACAATCGTGGTGACTTCAATGATGCTGAGATATTTGCAAAACTTCGGACCGCAGGTGTATGCGATGGGGAACGAACGCGCTATTATCCTTTCCGGGGAGTAACGCGTTTACCACCACACCATGCGGATCCTTCGTTTCACCTGTCTCTCAATTAATTCGAAAGGACCCGCGTGGTGTGGTGGTGAACGCGCTACTTCCCGGAAAGGACAATAGCGCCTTCGTTCCCCATCGCATACACCTGCGGTCCGAAGTTTTGCAAATATCTCAAAATCATTGAAGTTATATAAACAGATACTTCAGGGAAAGAAAACGCAATTCAACCAAAAAATGAACGAGACTATTAAATTTGATTTTAGGCTAAAATCTCGGTTTTCACCACCACCACCAGTTCGCCATCGAAGTTAAAATCCACTATATTGTTGTTCTGATTCAAAAGATTGTTCTGCTTCCATACTAATGTCTTCAGAGCGGCACGTTCTTGCAAGGTTATTTTTTCGATGTCTGTTCCTACGCTTCTCACTGACAACATTTGCGGCGTTCCGCCTTAACGTCTTCGAATGCTGTAGTGGCGGTGGTGCTCTAAGGTGGTAGCAATGTAAGTTGTGTTACTTGCAATGTCCTAAAAACTTCAGGACGGATCAAACAATAGCAGAAGTCGTAGTCGTTACCTGGGCAATTTGATGCTCCATCTTCGCGATTTATTCGGCGTTCATGTCTCAACACACCGGTGCTTCATGGTGCTTGTTGTTGGTTGGGCAAGCGTTTTTCTTTCTACAACGGACCTCCTCAATAATGGTCCAATCCTTCTACAATGGCCACCGCGGCCGCTTTTACATTTGATGGGAGTTTGTCGAATGCGTTGTGGCGATGCAGCCTCCGGAAATGCGAAAATCTGGCATAGATTTACTTTAGCTGCGTCTCTCAAATCTGGAATAGTCAAATCGTTTGCCAGTTTGGATAACTACTTGTTCTACTTCATAATGAAAAATCTGGGGATATCTTTGGGAGTCGAGTCAGCCATTAATGGAGAATGTTGTAATGTATATTTAGAAGTCTTTTCAAAAATAAAGGAAATATTCGCGAATAATTGCGTCATCTCATTGAAGTGATTTTTAATCTTTCGAAAACACACTACTCGTAATATCCGCAGGTCTTTAGTGATTTATGTTATTCCTACTGTACTCCCCTGTAAGTATCGATTTTCGTCATAGGCAGAACAAACGTTTTTGGAACCTTTTAATATATGCTTTTACAAAGTAGGAGCAGAAAAGGTCGAGTACGTACTAATCGATAGTGGTCAGTTGAGCGGATTTGAACCGCTGTAGCCTCGTTTTAAGAAACGTGTTGTCCTCGACGCCGATGTTGGAGGAAACTCGTCCACAGAGACCTCGTCTCATAGTGAAATGCTGCCGTATTTTTATTTAATTACTGGCGAGTTTTAGGTTTAATTGGGTTTTTCTTGTCAGATCCTAGATTTCTGCTCTGTGTTAACAGCCATTGCCTTCTTTTTTTGAGTTCCTTTCTTTTTCTCATTTATATCGCCACTTTTTTCGGACCTTTCTTATGGTTTAAAAATCCTTTAAAAGATCGTTGTTAATTGATGTTTTTGGTATTGAATTTTTCCTACCAACTGAAAATCAGGGCTAATTGTTTAGTTTTGTCCTAACTCATTCTGGGTTTCATGTTGGGCATTTTTTCTGCTGGTAATTATTCATGAAAAGAGTTTGCTGTTACTCAATTTTCATGCTAGTAAACATATTTATTCTTAATACTTTCGATGGTCTCCGTCCTTGTAGGCGAGTATTTTTTCAGCTCTTGTTCCACTGCCGTCAACTGTTATCGGACCGTATTCTTTGCTTTTTTTGCTTTCTTCACATTCGTCTAACTACAATGAATTTCAGCGGATGAACGACAATGTGTGATCAGAACGCGTTACTTCGCCTTCTGGCGGCACAAGCAACCGCTCAACAACAGGTTTTTATTCTGTGCATTTATTTGAATATCCTTATTCTAGCAATTCTTCCATTCTCAGATGTTGTTCGGGTGCGGTACGGGACAAGTAATCGGCGCTGGAGGTGCGACAAACACCGGTCATCGAGGAGTTGGCGCCAATGGCGTCGGGTTGCTCAACGGCGTTCTAAGCGCGGCTAATCCATTTCTATCACCAGAGATGATGTTGTGGCAAAGTATGGTAGCTGCACAATCACAGGTGAGTGGGGTCCATGAGATGAAGAGAGTTGGAATTTCTGCACAGAGTCAAAGTGTACAGCACTGAAGTAATTCTTTGGGGACGCGCTTTGCATTCGACTCCATTTTTAGTATCGTGGAGATGACGGAATTCATATTTGGTCTATACAGTGGCCTTCGGTGCCCTATCGATGTATCAAGTCAGTGTTTGCTATCCACACAAACAAGTTTGGTCCAAGTCGTCCCACCTCAGAGCGATGCGGACTTGTCTATCTCTTGGCACCGAGGTTGAACCAACAACTATCTGCACATCGCAGAATATCTTAATCTTAACCACTGCGCGAAATGCTGCTGGACTTCTTTGGTGTGCAACAGTGCATGCGAACTTTTCATTTACAATCTATCATGTCATTTGTTAATCGAATTATCTGGAAACAGAGTTAAAAACTAGCTGGTTAGAGTATTAAGCAGTAGGAAATGCCGTAATTGTATGTATGCTTTGTAGCGGCGAATAAAGCAAAACTAATGCAGATATTCCGATTTGATTAAGAGCCATTGATGTTCTTGAAGGAGAGTTGTGAAGTTGTGTGGTGTTTCCTTTGTTATGTCTGTGCCGATACATAGTTTGTTATTCTATTTTTAATTTTCACTTACATTTAGATTGCACAACTTCAACAACAACAACAACAACAACAGCAGCAGCAACAACAGCAACAGAAGCTGCCGCAAAAGCAACAGCAACAGCTTCAACAACAACAACAACAACAACAACAACAACAGCAACCGCAAGCCCAACCATCGTTTGATGAAGTGCTGAAGAAATTATCAGAAAGCGCGAAGAAAAGTAGGTCCAAATGTTTATTAGGTTCTCATTCACCATGTTTTTTTTTCTAGTTTCCCATTCTTTTCTTCCTTTTTGCTCTATGTGTGGTTGAATTACTACGAAAGATTTTAAAGAGCATGCGACAAGCTGGAGTCCTTACTTTTTATGTGGTTTTTGGATATTTCTTCTTAGGAAATGGAAATATATAATTAGTACTGAGTTGACCTACGCGCCAACATTTGTTATAGAAAGGATTTTTTTTGAATTTTTCCCATTTCTCCAATTTCCTTTATTAAATGATCTCTGATTTGATCCTGTTTAGAAGAAGAAATTTGGAGTTCTTTTTCTTTTCAAAAATACACCTTTATAGTTGCATTGCATCTTTTCCGCTATGAATTTATTTGTTAAGTTCAGACGATCGTTTTGATAGTGACATTGGTTTCTGTTAGCGAAACCTTGCTTTCTGAACCATGTCGGTCTTCTACAGACGTTCGTAATTCGATTCATGCTGACTCACCACCGTACCTCTACGCTTCTTCGCTCGTTTCTTTCAAAGCTTAACTTATTTTTCGTCCTTTGTGAACTGAATCATAGATTTCTAACGAAGTCTCGTGATTGTAATTTGGAGTGTAGCAGGAAAAAGGTTTGCAGTTAGGGTTGTACGAAGTGGTTTGCCAACGTTCATCTTTCAATGCTGGGTGTTGTGGATGATTGATATGCAGAGAACGTCGTTAGACCGGTTTTTTTCTGCTTCGTAGGGCAGTCGAAGTGGCTGGGTGGCCTGACTGGACGCCGGAATGAATGTCTGATAGAATCTCCACATTAATCCGTAGACAGTAAACGTAAACAGAAAGTTGAATATGGTTTTGAGAAGTTTCATTTAGTCAAAGTCTAGAGTTTTCTTATTTGAGTCGCTCACTATAGGCTTTTTTAAAATCCATTATTGGTTAAATGTCAAATGTGATCCCATTTAGGCCAAATTCGTACTTTATTGACAAAATAATTGTGATGCTAAGTGGGTTTTCCCTTAGATTGCTCATATACGTCGAATTTTGGAATTTTTAACTTTTGAAAATATCTATAAATTGTGTTACGAATTTAAGGACGATAAAGATTGAAGGTGCCGTTTATGTCAGTAGAGCAAGAAAGTAAAGTCCCACTTCGGACTTTCTACTAACCTCGACATTGATTGAATAATTCTTCCTACTTCTGTTCAGCAAACACGAGGTGGAAGACTCATAGAAAGCGGAAGACAAAATCCGACGAAACGTCAGCTTGTACGTAAATGAAGAAATAAAATAACACCTCGTGTTTTCTGAACAGAAGTAGGGAGGAAAGTAAAGTATTGGTGGGCTTCATCACTTTGAGCTATAGACACCGTACGATTTCGGACGGTCTTAGTGTGAGATTCCTTCCATTCCTAGTGTTTTTGTTAAGAGCATATCTGTTAATGTTATTTTTTCTACCAGGGTTAAATGTAGGAGATGATTGTTGATCGTCATTAAAAATTCTAAATATGAGTTTTATGCTTTCCTCATTTTCTCTCGGGATTATGCGCTTGTCCATCGTACTAATTATCCTCGTCGTCCTAGTGATTATGATGATTAACCCAAGCATGGCGTTCAACCTCCCATGTGGTGTCCTTGCTGTCATTCATACTCGGCTAGTGTTTTATGGCAGGCGTGATAATTCAGTTATGTTGTTCATCCGATAGTTTGTCTCTATGTGTATTAACAATGCAACGCGTTGTTGTTTGAGAAATGAGGCTCCTGAAAAATGAAAACTATTGAGACTAATCTATAGAGACAGAAATTTCTAATGATTGGTTCTCTCCATCGAAGCGAAACTAGGGTGGTTCATGAACAAAAACTTTTCGTTTTACTGCTTTTGTCTATGTAGTTGTGGTCGATATTTACATGAAAATTCTACACCAATTACTATACGTATTACCATCTGGAGTTCTCAATTTTTCAGCTTAGAGTGGGTGTGTCACTTTCCACTTGGCCGAATCGTCACTGACGTGAGCACAACTGCTGTCGAACAATGCCGGAATAATCGTGGCTGCGTTGTCGTGGATGCGAGTCTGTTGAGAGAATTCCAGTGCTCACGATCATTTGTTATGTGTCTCACGTGCTGAGTTGCATAGACGACTGGAATGCTGACAACCGTTAGAGGTCAGCAAGCTCACCGAAGGCCAGCAGAAATCGACCTGCAATTGATTTTCACTTTTTTATCCCATGACATGTCTAATCATTAGATAATTTCATTGCCGGATAAGTGAGAACAAAAGCGATTCGAATCATCTTTATTTTTCCAATCGTATCTCTTTAACATAGGGAAGATCTGTGCTTCTGGTAAAGCGTCGAGAATTTTGCACTTCATTCGGAACATAATATTCATCTGGAATCCGCCGTCTGAGTTGAAGCAACAGGGAATGTTCAGTCGGATTTCTTTCAATGTCGGCGACTACTCGGCAGCTACTGCTGCCGTGGGTGGTGGTGGTGGTGGTGTTGTCTGAGTGTGCACTCGATTCGTAGACTCAGATAATCGTCGTCATCGTCGTAGGGCCGGCCATGGCTGGCTGCACTGCTGCGATCGTCAAACGGCAGCAGCCACGAAATTCACGAGGGTGCGTTCTATCGCCCGACACAAACCGCCGGTTGTTTGATTGACGAGAGTGGAAACCGAGACGAATGACAGGAACCCGTATAGAATCGCAGGGATGTGCAGAATGTCGATTTTCGACCAAAAGTCCTAGTAGTGAGCAGGACATTTACATCATTTTTTCAAATGAAGAGCAGTGGATAAAGATAAACTGTATAACTCAGTTGTTCGGTTAGGTTTATGTATCGGCTTCTAGAAAGCGATTGTATTATCCTTTAAACGACTCCAGGGAAACGAAGATTTCAATAGACCTGGAGCGAAGGCGAACCTTGTGTGCGGTGTACGTAGTAGTAACGTTTCTCTGCTTTTTGCTACGTTGACATTAAGCGACCAAAATGAGAAAACACGTTCGAATCGAATTTATCGCCGTCGAAAGGACATTCGCTGGTATCTGAACACATCAACAACGATAGCTGCTGATGTTTTGTGGAGTTGACTTGTTCACACTGGATCTCGGAGGCGATGTAGTGTTCGCGAAATGTCCCGGCGGTGGATCGACAACGCATCGACGGCCGGGTGGTTGGTCGTCGTTGGGTGTCGGTGGTGGGAAATAATCGCCTCCGCCGTCGTCGTTTAGCTGGGGCAGGTGGTCGGTCGCGCTAAGCAGATGTACACCCAAACCACAACTTTCCTCATATACGCATCAACCATTTACTACCTACTATAGTGATATGAGAAGGCGTGGGCAGCTATCACTTTTTTCCTATGCGGAACACTATCACGTTGCTCCTTCTTGCAGATATGTTAAGCTGCTCATTGACGGTGTTTGTGAATTTATGAAGTCGCTGAATAGGAAATACTTGTGGTGCTAAAAAATATGACAGATTTGATGGGATTGATAGAGAAAGTTTGACTTTTAACTGAAGTGAAGATAGTTTTTTCCGGCTTGTGCCATTAGCTGTGATAAAGACGAAAACATGGAAACGTTAGCCGAATAAAGATTATATATCAACCTCATATAAGCTTGTCGAAGAACGAATACATATGAATGTAATAACGTTCAACGAATATTCGTCAAATGATGGAGGTGAACTTAGTAGAGTAGAAGACGTGAAAGCGTTAAAGGGTTTTCTACAGAGATATCAAACCGTTGGTAAGCTTTTGCATAGCACTTCAGATAACGTATGCTCAACTCGTCTGCACTACATACGTACTGATTTTCTCTAGTTCTCTTGAGATAATACTACTGAAGTGTGGGCGGAGCTTTAATCATCTATGAACCAATCTAACCTTAATAAAGAAAAGCAACTTCTAGCGTTTGACTTTAGAGAAATATGAAGATCTTAAAAAGAACACTTGATTTTTTAAAGTGAACGTAATGTTTGCTCCTTTTTTCCACAGTTTTACTTTAATTAATTATCGTTCATCGTGACGTCTGGGGCTGTTTCGATTGAAATTCGATGTTTGTGCAATTGAGTTTTCCGACCAGCTTGCTGCTCAGAGATTATGAGGTGTTTGCTTAGTTCCCATTTGCGATATTATTACTGACAATGAAGTTCCTTACTCCTTTTTTGAATAATTGATTAAAAGAGACAGTGTAGAGGTGTACTATTTTGTTACATATGATGAATGGGAGAACTAATTGCTAATTTATCACAACAGACATTCTGATGAGCGACGATGTATAGTATGTGGTGGAATACTGTAGGAGTACGAAAGACTATTGAACATGTTATAAGTAAATGTAATGCGATGAACTGCTCCCATTTATACCTATGTTATGTCTTGTATTTCTTGAGGACTCAAGAAGCTCAAGAAACATGCTTTATTGGAGGAGGAGGAGGAGCTGACTTGGTTATCCACGACAATATCCAGAAATTTCACACGAGAAGTATGTGAAAATACACGAAAAGAGAAGGAAAGTACTTGAAAAAATATCGAGGATCAATCCTTACCCTACTGTATACTTAAGGTAGGAGGAAAAATGCCCACAAATGTTTGACTCCACCTCGAGAATTCCAGAAAAACGTTGCTTTATGCTTTTACGCTCAGTTGAGCTCCAAGGTATCTTGTTGAATACCACATTTTTTCTACGATTCTTGTTTATTTTTTTAAACAATCCTTAGCTGAATGCTTAAGTTTTTTCTTGCTTATATATATTTTCTAATGACTTGGATAGTAGCACGCTCCTTCCTTTCTGTAATATTCGCTTCCCCATTATTCTGGCAGTCTTTCCAACTGTAACATTACGACGATGGCTTAGCTTTTCCACTGAGCGTCGATTTTTAGTGGTACCCTTTTTTTATTGTGTGTAGTGTCATCTCAAAAACATCACCCCACTAACGACAGCGTATGCTCAAGTGATATACGGCCTGCTCGAGACGCCGTACATCAATATCCAAGGGCTGTAACACTACTCCATCCATTGTTTGTGTGTGTGTGTGTGTGTGTGTGTGTTTGTGTGTTTGTTTGTAAGTTTGTCGAATCTTACTATTTTTTTTGATGCGTTTATTCATAACTATGGGTGTGAAGGCGTCGATATTTCTGGTACTGGAAGCCCAAAACTTGTCAGTGACGATAATTTGGTCAAACATACACGATTAATAATCCTAATAACTTGTGTCAAATAAGGAGGCAAAACTAGTCGACGGTAGGTAGGCTTGTTTTCCTTGACGCAAAAGTGATTAGATGGCATAGAAATGGACCTTTTGCAAATAAAAAATTCTAATCTCAAAAAGGCTTCCTTGAGTAAAGCAAACATTTGGCGGGAAAATAGCTTGGAAACCACAAGCACACGGATTAATTACAGACGTATATTATAAAAATACCGCCTTATATTTTATCTGTGTGTGGTAACCGTTGAAGAATTTCTTAGGAGTCATTATTGTTAATAAATTAGCCTAATTCTACTAAGTACAGAAAATCACGCATGGTGCTACACTGAACGTAGTCAACATTGCTACGTTGTGGTCATCGTCAATGTTCAGCTAACTAATTCAAAGGCTGTTGTCTGTCGAGGAATTGGCTCCGATTCGAAGACGATATGTGCAACATATGAGAATTTTCTGCTATGTTTGCTTTTTTTGGGACTTCGTAAATATCGTGGCTGATGAACTCATTCGGAATCGGATGTGTCGCGAACGGTTTAGCCCCCGGTTTGCATTTGGTGACGATATGGTTCATTGGAAAGCTCCGACACGCCTTTAAACTTTACGAATGTTTAGAATTTCATATGAGACTAACTAATCTTCATCTTTCGTCTTGGAAAGGGCACTGCTGAGGGAAGTTAACGATTCGAGCGGCGCTCCCTCCACTGGGTTGAACTTGATGCGATAACGACCAACAGTGGACCATGGTCTCGAATTAGTTCGGCTCTGAAGAAGACGAGGGCATGGAAACGTTAACGATTTTGTCTTAAATCTTCAAAATACCATATATGACTGTTCAAGCATGTACCTGCTTCGTCATAGTCAATTTTTTAGACAGATCGGGTTATGTCAGAGATTTTTAAGTGATTCGTGAAAATTTCGAATCTTATGGGTCACTACTTCTAACGGTTCACCGCGTCTTCGTGGCCGAGAGGTGTTTCTGGGTGTCGGGATTCCAGGGAACCTCAACGGCTTAACCAGCAAATCTCCGAAAAATGGTGATCATGCTGGTGCCCGCACAAGCAGTGAGGACGGGCCGTTCAAGTATCAAGTATGGGTCACTACGGTTTTTCATAAATGTGCTGACACCGATTTGATGCGTCATATTGACGACGAAGCGCGTGAAGGTCGATGCAACCGATTTTCGTCAAACGGATAGCCATATCTATGCTCTATGCGATTGCTAGCAGGAAAAAATACCTGTAATTTCTTCAGAAAACCTTTCTCTGAAGATACACGGAGCCACTTTGTGCATTCTTCGAAACTTCTGCTCACAAGGAGTTCCAGTTGCGAAAAACGACTCTTTTTGTGTCAGCGATGAATCTTCATTGTAATAGTTACAATTGGAAAACGTTCCACAAATATTCAACTGTTATTTCCTCGGTAGCTGCATCATTTTTCAAGGACTGATTTGGTAAATTGACTCTGATAGCGATGTTGGTTCCATAGAAGCGTTCATTACAGCCACTAGCTTCTTGTTGAAATAGTGAGTCTTGATATGTGTTTGAAATTCTTGGGCCTACACGAGTTTGGTAAATAAACTTTATTCGCCGAACGTTCTGACGTCTTCATCCTCCTCAGAGTCTTTCTTCGCAGCAACAATAAGAAGATCTATACAACCTCGAGTCAGCTGAATAAGGGCAGTTCGTGAGGACATATAAATAGGTATAATTTACCCACTATTTATTCTTCGTTCTGTTATCATTGCTTATGCCGTAGGCTTGCTTTTATTAATTTGCACGGCCTGTCTTTCACATATACTGTGCCGATCCCATCATTTTCTATTCGATTCATTTCCTTGTGTCCATCATCTGTAAAGGTTTTCGGCCATTCTGCGTGTCGGTTCTGCTGCTGCTTGAGGATTGTTGTCTTCTTCATTGGTGTCATTGAATACTGGTCCAGTCGATTCTTCCTGGAATCCTATGATAGCGTGATTTGATCGTTCCCACTTCGATCACGGACGGACAAATTTAGTATAATTTTTCCAGACCCGGCGGAATGAGAGGCTTGGTGAGCCGGAGCGGGGTTGAACCGGTACCTCGTACTCATGATGCACTATCACTACGCTTTCCGGCTCCCGCCGTTTAACAGATAAAGGATGAAAGCATAAAGCATTCGATATCGACCACCTAAAGAGGCACCATGCATGCGACTTCATTCATAGCATGGTGGAAGTGTTTGGATGGATTTTCGCTCTATACAGTGACTTTTGAGGCCTTCGCAGTCAGTGTCTGTCATTCTCTCATCGAAATCAGGTGCAAATTTGCTGACTCCCAAGGAATAGATAGCTTAGTTAACTTAGGGTGCGGAATCAAGCCAACAACCACGTGTGTATTGAAGGGAACTTCTAAGAACGTTGTTACTGCATCTTTTAGTGTCAATCGTTCGAGTATATGCGAATATATAGTCAGATTATGCTATGAATCAGTTCTCCAGCGTTGTTATCCAACCATGTTGCTTTGGTGCTCACGTAGGTGAGTGTTTATGTGTTAGTGTGGATGTAGAGTATCAGTGAGTGAACGAATGTGTGAGTGAGCGAGTGAGTGAATGAGTGTGTGTGCGTTTGTATGTGTGGGTGGGCTTACGTATGTGTGTATGTGAATGTGCGACTACACAACATGGTTGGAGGTGGTCCGCTAGCGTTCCTGCATCATTTTACGCGGTGCCAGTCACATGTTTGCAAGTGGTCCATGATACCGTGATGGGGCCGACGTTCTCGTAAAGGACTACGGCGCCGAATTCCACCTCGTTCGTGACACCGAGATAACCGCAATGTGGAAATTACCAACTTTCTTCCGGTTCTTCGTGGCAATAGTGGGATGTATAACTTAATATATTATAGGTTATATTTCGCAATATACCTTGCCGTTAAAAGCATAGGCAATAAATAAAAAGGTTAAGATAGTGAGATGTGTTGTTCTTCATTCTCTTAATATCAGCAGGTTCTTTGGTGGTGGTGGTGGTGGAAATTTTTAGGAATAGAAGGACTTGGCTTCAAATACTTCCACTAGAATTTTCCTCATAAAAGAAACTTCTTATCGTAGTAACAAAGACTGCCTGATCATCATGGATTTTCGAAAATCGTCTGAGAAACTAAACATTAGCTCGATTTTTCACAAATACACCTGGAGAAAAGATATTTTTCATCTATGGTATCGAGGTATTATGAAATCCTTAGTCGTCCTTTTCGTCGGCAGCCACTAATTTATGCCCTTGGAGTGATACCACAAGTGAAATACAAAAAGGAACTTTTTAATATAAAAGACGAGTTAAACTCTGGAGGTTTTTAGACTGGGTTTTAGTTTCCTTTTAGGAATATTTCTCAAATCCTAGATCTAGTCAGGCAGTAAAAGACTATAAGAACAGCTGTACTGGGTCGTTAGTCATCAACGACAGCGACGTCGATGAAGCGCCGATGTTTCACTGATTCAGAAGCAGATTGGACCAAATCCTCATCATTATCACTCAGGATAAAAGAATGTACTACTTTGTAAGGCAAAAGGGACTCCATGGAGTTAAGTTGGGCATCGTCAAGGTTACCATACCATAGGTGGTCGGTGGTTTCAGTGTGCGGGCGAATTGCGCGATGAGGTGACGATTTCGACCACAGAGGTTACATTGACGGTTATTTCATTACGTGTGGAGATAGTCGCCGCAAAGTAGTTTAAGAAAAAGGGTAATGTAAAGGTGAACAGTGGAGTGAAAGGAAGATAAAAGTGGTAAAGTATCATTCAGGGATGATTCTGGCATTGATTGGGATCCGCAAATTATGTTTATTTTCGCTTCTGTTTTGTTTCAACAAGCGGTCAACGTCATTCGGGACCGAGCTCAACTACGTGTCAAACAGTGCGAATTTTGGCAATCGTCTGAATTTATGGCCAGATTTATCCACTGCTTCCGTGAAACTACTCAACACGACGACCTTTTGTTGTGCATAAACTGGCGCCGGCCGTGCCATCTGTCGAAGTTTGTGTGATTTTTCAATTCGCTGCTCGTGATGACCTTTGTATGAATGAGTTGTGGCGCCACACGGGAGCGCCAGCCAGCAACCGCCGTCGTTAATGTTCCGAATATTTACTCGTAGGCACTTCAATTAGAATCGATCCCAACGCTGATGTATAATGCGTTCGTTGAAAGATCGTGTAAATACTAGTAGAAGGTTCCTACGTGCTGAATATGGGTTTCCCTTCTCTCGTTGGAGTTACTAGCTACGTGACTCTAAAGTGAACAAGAGCTCAGTTGGAGGATGTAGAGCGGATTAGTGACTGCATTGGTTTCGGCTATTAAGAGAGGAGAGCTCGTATGGCCGGCCCAACATCTCATGCACTCTTCTGTTGGCGATGGTGGCAGCGGCTTATAATGACGTCGCTGTTGAGTGGTAACGAACGGGAAAACGTTAGAGCACAAATAGAGGCTTCCGGCCGACATATGCGCTTTGGTCATCACCACGATGTGATGAGAAGCTGGAAAGCAGAACGAGGGAGAGTATTCACATCGATGCAAAGACGTTTGAGGTTTCCATTGCCGTTATCACCCTTGTTCTCGCATGAAGGATGGAACGCTTACCGCTCAAAAAACTATACGTGTGCATTAGCAAATGTGTTTGTTGTGTTTTAAGTTAAACTCAATGAAAAATTTGTAGTTAACCTCAGCAGAAGAAGATGATTTAATGCGTACTTATGATTTATTAGTAACGTTACAAAATTGGATAACTTGTAATTGCTTCTCTTATAAGTACTGAACGAAGCTAAATGTTCCAGCTAAGCCTTGAGTAGTGAGGTGAGGGTGAATGTTCTAAATAAGCTGTGAGTAGTAAGAATTCTCGGATTTCCGATATAGACTGCAATTTGGTTATATTCGAATTTCAATGGAATATTATTAAATAATCGAAAGTGTTCATTTGACTAGTGATAGCTGAACAATTTTGCTATTGTAATTCAGACGATAATTTAAAAAAACGATAAAGCTGTAGGCATTGATCAATCCCTGAGGGATGCGCCATGCATTCAACCTCACTAAGCATCGTTGGAGGTGAATGAATACATATCTGGCCTTTACAATCACTCCCACTGGCCTACCGATGTATTGAGCCAGTACTGCTATTCTCCCAGACAAGTCCGGTACCAGTTTGCCGACCCCGGAGGCATGGAAGGCTCGGTTAGCCAAAGGGTGCAGTGATAGATCGCATGTGTATTGCAGGACGCCTCCAACTACTGTGCCACACGCGTCCTTGATTGACGAAGTAGTAAGTGTAAATCGAATTTAGTTGATCATAGATGTAGTACTGCGAATATTTTAACACATAAGAAGGCATTTAGCTTTTGATCGAATACTCGAAAAGTTGATGCAATTCGAGCGAATGGTCGAGTGAAGCAGTCTGATTCTATGATAAATGTTGTTGATTGTAAATGGATGATGAGAATTGTTCATTTACGTGACGTCGGTAATAAAGTTATCATGGATTCCATCGCTTTATGCCAGCTATGCGCTTAAGTTAATCGACCTCAAATCTAATTAGTATTAGGAAGCTAAGCGGAGATTGTTGAATCACGAGTGAAACAAATACACATCTCTATCAGCCACGACTTGGGCTAATCGGATCCAAACCCGCCTTAAAGGAGTCCAAGGGGATCTTGTTGAACCCTACATAGAGTCCATAGAGATTTTAAGCGAGCGGAAATTCTTTGACTCTTTGTACAAGCGATACTATTTTCTGAGTAAACTGATAACGCTGTTTATTACACCATTATCCATTTTATATTTATTAAAGTCCTCCAAACCTGAGTAGAATTAAAAAATACCTTGTTTCGTGCTTGGATTCCTCGAAAAAATATTTAAACAGCAAATATTTACCTCGTACATGTTGTTTCTTTACCTATTTAGTTTTTGCTCCCACTCCTACAACTTTTTATCTATGTATAAAACTTATACTAGGGTCGTATGTCGTCACAAAAAATCTATCTAAATGATGCTAAAAGCTTTAAAAAACTCTTGAGAAAGAGGTTAAATGAACACATATCACTGCCAACATATCTATCAATAGGGCGAATGTGGCGCAGTGGTAGGAAGCGCCCTGCGACTCACACATGGGATCGATCCTCGCGCTCGTGGCTCACCAAGCCTTCGCTTCCTCCAGGGTCGGCGAACTGATACCAAACTTGTCTGGGAGGATAGCGGCACTGGTCCAATACATCAATGGAGCACCGCAAGTCATTGTAAAAGCCAAACATGCAATCAATCACCTCCAAACGATGCTTAATGAAGTCGAATGCATGGCGCATTCTTCAGGGATTGATCAACGCCGAGGCCCTTTTCTAGCATATCAGTAGTAATTATATGAGAAAGAAAACGACTTTTAACACAACTGTTAGACCAAATAAATGATGTAGTGCCATCCAGATTTTTAAAAGGTCTAATTGATCTATGAAAAAGTTGTTTTCATTGTTATAGGAATAGTTTTCGATTGGTGAGACTGTTCAAATAAAGTTTTGCTACCTGGATATAGAGCACTAATTAGTGTAATGAGCCTTTGTTTTGTTAAATTAGCAACTGTTTGGTGTTCTTGTGTTATTCCTTGTTTCTCTATTTGCTAATTACTTTTCCCAAGATCGATTTTCCATTAACCTCGGCATTGGTTTATAAATGCGTCGTTTTCTTTCTAAGCAATCGCAAGGTTGTTAAACAGCATACGTTTACTTCCATACAATAACACACATATAACATAATCGTAGCTGATGTTTCGGCAGAATCGCCTTCTTCAAAGCCGCGTTTTTCACCTCTCTTCCACCGGGGAAGAACAGCCGCTCAGAGTCGCATATGGTTGACGACTCTGCTCGCTTCCATAGAATCTCTTATGCGTGCTATAGAAGACACCGTTGTTCGAATTTTGCGATAGAGTTAATTATGTACGTCTATTTTTGTTTCCTACTTCCCAAGAAACTTCGTTTCTACGTCATCATCGTCGCGTTTTGTTTCTAAAGTGGAGTGCCCATTCCTGTGTTTAGTTTGGATCACGGCCGTTACACCGGTTTTAGTGCTGATGACGAGATAGTAGAATTGGTGGATTGGACGACGTCGACCGTCACAATGATCACGTCATCTGTCCAGAAGATGTCCTTTTTAGGAGCTCACCTCGTCTGTTGGCTACGATGACCGGAGACGCTGAACGATTGGATGAAAGGAATGCATTGAGGAAGGGAAAGAAAAGTTATGTAAAAATCACCGAAAAGGCAAAGAAAAGTTATGTAAAAATCACCGAAAAAGGCAAAGATCAGTCACGTACTGAAGTTTTTCACATTCATGTCTGTTTCCATTACTTTTTCCTACTTTTTGTGAGAGCTCTAAAATTAGGACCAGTAGAAAATGTGACAGAAACGGATACTAAGGGGATAGGGGAAATACTAAAGGTATAAGGGGCGGATAGCACAGTGGTTGTGATATCCGTCATCACGATCATGGTGCTTGTTCGATTCCGTTCCGAGCGAACCAAGTCTGTCATCCATCCGGGGTCGGGAAATTGGTACTGGCCTTGTGTGGGAAAAACTCGCTCTCTGCAATCCAGTTGGGATGCTCCAGTCCGGCTATCTCAGGATTCCAGGGAGAATTGCTCGACCAGCATTCTACGGCATTCAGGATGAAGTGAAAGTCCTCAAGCAGCAACCGAAGGCGTACGTGAAAAATTACAACATCTTCGTGGACAATGGATGCGAGGAAACGGATTGAGTGTGAGAAGTCCTGGGATCTGCACAGCAGTCATGAACACTTCATATAAAATGAAAATAAAGAAAAACAAATTTCACGCACTTTCAAATATTCCATCCAATTTCTTGAATAGTTTTTGTCACTTATTTCTCTTCTTGATCCCATAAATTTAACAGAATACATTCATTTGGTTGTTTTGTTTCAGTTTGTTTTGTTTTTAGAAGAGTGTGGGATCAATTTAAAATGTGTCAACAATGACATTATAGCTATTGTTTTTCATAAACATGATGATGGCAGTATGAAACATACATAATCGGAAATCATTTGGACTCGCAATTTTTGATCAAACGATGAAATAATTTGCCACCGTGTATTCTGTGTAACTACGGTATTTGCGTCATGACGATATAATATAACGACGTCAATGTCTAATTGATATCCACAGCTGCATCAAAAGTGCACAGCCCCACTGGTTGCTTGGTTGAGTGACGACTCGCTGTCTGACTGGTTTTGTGTCAGTCGAGTGCCGGAGCTCTCAATACATCTCATACGACTTAACCAGTGAACGAAACCAATAGCATTGATGGTGGTGGCGGTGGTACTATCGTCGATACCAACTCTACGGTTGCCGTTGACACTGAGAAGTGGAGGCCGTCACGAACGACCGGCCTGCCATTGTGCCGCTTGACGGCGGTCGACTAGTGGGGAAGTGGAGAGAAAAGAAAAATCGTCCTGATTGAAACTCTAAAGCGACAATGGAAAGTTGATCTGGTAAGGGTGAGAGGAGTTGTGGATTAAGAAAAGGTTCAGAGCTTGATAGTAATGGCACGAAAGAAGCCGTGAAGCAGATGAGAGTTCAGGTCGAACGTTTAGGTATTGCTCAGTTAACTAATAATGACATTATAATTTAATGAATTCAGTTTCTTTTTACGTTCTATGCTGATAATTCGCTGTTCGATGATCTTTTCTATAAAAAGAAATCACTGAAGGAATTCTTCTGAACGCGGGAATTAGTTGAGTGTTTTTTCATCTCTACTGCGAAACCGGCCGTTCATACGCCATCACAGTACTTTCGCTTAGCCATTCTGACTTGAGTGAAAGTGCATCAGTGAGATGTTTTGGCATTTTCATGGGTTTGGTACGTTCATTTTTAGCCATTTCTGTCACTATTTGATGGAATGGTGTCACACATATAAAATGTGACTCGGCTATGCGACTAGACTATGACTGATGTCTCCCGCTTGGCCCTTCGACACTAGGAGGTCCACATCTCATTGGTAGCGAACTGAAAACGGCTTGACGATTTTTTGTGTCATTTTCTGGAATTGTGACAATTTTATTTCCGTTTTGTCCTTGTCTAGTTCCATTTCCTTCGAAATTGATGCAGTTATTTTGTTTAGCTTTTGAAGTCAACCGATCACCAGTTAGTCCAAAGGCGGCTTTGTGATTTCCAAACATTTTCGCATTTTGAGCTATCTTGTATTTTTGCACTGGAGATTTTCTGGTTTTCAGTTGGAAGTCGGATATACGGCAAAATTAATGTTTCGTTGTTCTTCATTATTGTATGCTCCATAACTTCTTTAAGAGATTCTTTCGCAACTTTTTTTCGTCCAGATTGGCGAATTTTTTCTGTGTTTAGCTTTCTGATAAGTTATATATTTTTTGTGTATTCCAGGTGCAGTAATCAATGGTGTTTCGGGTTCCCATCAGTCAACGACTAGTTTGCTACCGATGTCGGCTTCAGCAGCGGCGACACCAACGACTTCGGTTATTCGTGGTGGACGAAACAATCTCGAACCAGGCGAGATCCCCGTCATGAAGAGGTTTCTTGCCTTATCTGTATATGTTTATATCATAAGTATTATTTGAATTTTTGTGAGGAAAGATGTGGATCGGGGTTTCGTTACTTTTAATAGATAGTAAATACTTGTCAGTTGCCTCCTGTAAGTGGCGGAAGAGGTGTAAGAGAAGATTTGAAGAATAATGATAGCGAATGACATCTCGAGTAAGAAGAATACTAGAATATTTTTTTTCGCGAAAACATTTGCTTTTGAGCTATTCTGATGTTTTCCGGTTAATTTTCTGTGCGCTATCGATGTCAATGGGGCGCGCGTGGTTACAGGCTCCCTACAGTACACACAGGATCGATCCCGCGTCCCAGGCTCACCAAACCCTCCATTCCTCCGGGTTTGACGAGTTGGTATCAGATTTGTGTGATGGGATAGCAGCAGTGATTCGATACATCGGTAGGCCACTGCCAGTCATTGTAAAGACCAGATATGCATTCACTCACCTCTAACAGTGCTCAATGAAGTCGATTGCATGGCGGATCCCTTAGGGTTTGATCAATGCCGAGAGCTTTGTCTTTTTTATTTGTTGTCGATATCAACGGGCCACTTTCTTTTTGCTAGAAGCAGCTCGAAAAGCGAAGCTGCACAAAGGACAGGTTTTGTTGATGTGATTTGTGTATTTATGAATAGATACATAGCTACATGGTTGTCTCATTGTCACGAATCACTCAGATTCATGTTTTCTATTCGTTTTCTTCTCATTTCGATAATCTTTCATGGTGATGGTCTGCTATGGGAATGACGACGTGTCTAAGTACCACTCAATGCTTCATAACCTGTTCCCACAGCTGTGTATACAAATGATGTGTGAGCTATAAACACATTCGCCCATCTTGTAGGTAGTCATCCTAGAGGACGTTTTAATGTTACAGCGCAGTTGCAAAGTTTAGCTACCTACTACTTGTTAGAGCCTCGATGGCTCGTGGTTACAGACCTTGCCGATCCTAGCTTATGTTCTGCTAGACTAACATTTCTGTCGTTAGACCGAGTCATAGATGTTTCTCAGATCGTCAGCACAGACAATCGCGGACATTTTTGGATGTGAAGAGAATTTTTCATCTTGTGACCAGAGTTCTATCAGATTTTCTGTACTTAGTTTACCAAGTAAGAGCGGATCATTTTATTGGAGGCATGGAAACTCCAAACTGCTTCTGTGCCTGCGTTCCGGGTTCTGATTTATCCCAGCCAACTGACAATATCTCGATGTTATGATGAACCAGCAAGTCCGATGAAATATTCCTAAGAGAGTGGAGAAAAGGGATGACATTAGAAGCAGAGTAGGCGGAACTCTACCGACTTCGGATCTATAGGGGTAATAGTTTATCACTAAAGCATCATATGAAGCAAGGCAAACTGATTTTCTAGAATTTTACGGACAAAATTCTTGTGTTCTTCTAAATGCCTCCATTTTTAAACGTCAGCATTTACAGTACATCGTTTGCGAAGACGTTGAACTCAATGAATAAGAGCATGCTGGACGCGGCGATGTTGCAGCTGTTGGCCACACAGATGATGAGTCAACAGCAGACGGCAGCAGCAGCCGGAACGATGGCTGCAAAAATGAATGGGTACGGTCGATAATAAAAAAGAAACCACTTGTAGTGTAGTAATACCATTGCAGTAAGGTCATTTTGTGTCAGCTCAATTAAACGGATATGGAATTAAGGAACATCAATAAGTTATTGTGTTTCTTAGATCGCTGTTTTAGCGACTGATAAGCAACATAGCCGTTTTTACAACTTAACGAGAAAGTCAATATTTCGTATGATCTAAAATAAGTATTATCTACATGAGAGCAATTTTTCATGATAGGAATTTGGTGAATTCTTCAACAGTTTTCATCTGTTTGCGTTAAATTGGAAGATTTAGGCATTTCAATAACAGAACAGCAACAAAGAAGGACGCGGCTCACTTAGCACTTGACCTTTCCACTAGGGCTAAAGCAGAACCAGGTCCGTTGATATTAATGGAAATTATTGAAAACAGTGTAATTTCTACAATTTTTCTTGGATATTTCCGGCAAGATGCTTTCTTTAAAGGTCCTTCATCTGACGGTACCGAAACACGCAGCAGTGCCACTCCATCTGAAAGTGTAGGTGAGACCGGGAAGAAACGCCCACCGGCCACCGAGTCTCAGGCGAGAGTACCGTTATCATTAGGGTGAGTTCCGTATCCTGATACGGTAGCGAAGGAATGCATATTAAACCAAGAAATACCATTAACAAAGTCTTTGAAGCCGCACTATCGCGGAACTTAATTCTACACTACTTGTTTAAACTTTATGCCAGTTTCAGATATTGTCAAAGCAAGGAGATCAATCAATATTGATATTTATAACTTTTCTCAGAGTAATACCTAAAATATATTCTTTTGGTCGTTAAGTCCATCGTTTTTCGTTTGAGATGGCGACGTCAAACATGCATCCGATCGATAGCTGCATCTGGAGTTCGTGGAGACGTCGTCTACTACGCGCCATGTGGGAAAAAGCTGAGCACCTACGCCGAAGTGTTAAGAGTGAGTTCTGTTCTTTAGTTCCCCTCTCTTTTTCCCCGTTTGCGTGGTCAAACGTTTTTTTTTCCAATCCTCGATTAATGAACTATCTTTTCCCACATAATGTAGTCGTTTATAGTATCTGATGAAGCATCCGTGCAATTCGATTTGTCGCGATAACTTCTCATTTAGCAGTAAATTAATCGTCGGCGAATTTTTATGGCCGAAGGAACTGGAAAGCGGCGAGAAGGTAAACGTTATATTTTGAACCTGCTGTTCAATTATAAACACTCGTTGAAGCAATACATTTCAGACAGTGGTAAAGATGACCGAAGAAGCCGTTGCTGATGAGGTGAATCGCTTGGTTTCGTTGAAACCGCCGGCTCGAAACGGTGAACGAAAGCATCGCGAAAAGCCATCAGCAGCACCGCTGCATGAAGGGAGGACCACTCCTGAAGAGGTACTGGGAGTATTTTCTTTACGTTTGTCGGTGTATATTCCCTCCCTGCTATGACTTTCTTCATGAAAGAATGAGTGGTCGTAGATTTGAATTCTCCCTATCATAATGCACGACTTTTTATCTCCTGCCTGTCTTTTCTTCATGGCAGAGTAGTGAGTGAAATACAACCGCAGTGATGCTGAGGCATTTGCAAAACTTGGGCCTCAGGCCAGATCCGAACCCGCTATTACCCTTTCCGGGGATTGACGTGTTATCCACTGCAACACTAGGGAGCTCGTTCTGGCTTTCTTTCAGCCAGTTTTTGACGCTAACGGGCTATGAGCAGTCAAAAAAGCAAAATAATAGGGGCAAATAGAAAGTTCTGGTATCGACATCAGTCTGAGTTTAATTGGGTCCAGTGCGGATTTAGAATCCCCAGTTCATTCCCATTGATGGGTGATTGCTGATGGCACCACTGCGGTCAAAAACTGGATGAGAGAAAGGCAAAGCAAGAGCCTCAGTGGTGCAGTGGGTAACACGTATGCCAGACGAATGGATAATGTCGGATTCGAATCCGGCCTAGGGTCCAAGTTTTGGAAATATCTCAGCATCATTGTGGTTGTATCTCCTCGTCACACTCAGTTTCCCTTACAGTTCAGTCTATTTATGGGAGTAACATCTGTTATTTAAATAAAGTGATCTATTGAAAGCTTTTCATATCATTCCAATAAGTCAGAACTTTTTCTTAGATGACCGTAAGACTTTATTTAAAATACTTTTCTCCTTAATGATGTCAACTTGGCGACCCTTTCAGGGTTTTCCACCGCAAAGGTTTGAGCGTAGACAGTTGTCGTCTACCGTGTACTATAAACCCGTAAGAAGTAGTTGTAGAGACCACTGAATAGATCAGGACGGAATATTCTATTCTCTATCGATTTATTGATCACAGTTTTACCTACAGTATTGCGAATTCTAGTCTCACCATGAGCATCATGTTGAAGTCGACGAATCACCATTAGATGTGTATGACGATGAAGACAAAATCAAATGGAGTCGTGAACCTATCGACGATCTCTTACTGACAGAAATTCGAGTCAGTTTTGATATCTTTCACCTATGTTATACATGACATTATTTTTGCTTACTTTTTCTTTTTAACATCTTGTATTTTGAAGCCGAAAATTCTCAAATTCCTTTCCATTTAGCCGGTGCCAGACTTACCACGGGTTGAAAATCTACGCCTAAATGGCCTCGGTTTTGCCGATGCTCTTATGGTCTGTGAATTTGTGCATAATTTTGCACGTGTATTGGAAATAGGTGAGTGGATCTATCGACGTATCGATTTTTTCCAATGATCCCAAGAAATCAGGATCAAGAATTATAACACTCCAGAGATCGCGTTTTCTTAAAGAAGCTTAGATTACTTGTTCGTTTTCGTAAATGTTACGTTTTTTCCAAGTCCGACTTTCTATTAACCTCGGCATTGATTGAATATATATCTTTCTACTTCTGTTCAGCAAACACGAGGTGCTATTTTATTTCTTTATTTACGCACAAGCTGACGTTTCGGCAGATTTCGCCTTCCTGAGAGCCTGGAAGAGTCAAGTGGACAGCAATCCATTCGGCCAAACACCTCCATAACCAAACAGAGAAAACGCTAAACCAAGATTTCAATCACATTTAGTATAGCTCTGCACACTCACCGCTTTCTATGAGTCTTCCACTGAGTATGTCGCGTGAAGACCGACCGCACAGAATTCACACGGAAGCGTTATGTGCCCATCCCATTAGAATAACAGGCTTATATACTACCCTATATCACGCGTGATAACGAGGCATTCCTCCCTGCGGTTCATTTTCGGATTCTTGGAAATAATCCAGAATGCCTCTAGAGTTCTGCGCGCTTGTGTTCTCGATTCTTGCGCGAGGATCGTAACCCTTACTTCAAAATCTTCTCCGTTATGTTTCTGCGTTCTATGCGTACCTAGTGGAGTACTTAGCTTCCGTTTGCCGGCTAGGTGTTCTTTTGTGCGTACGCAGAGTGGTCTACCTGTTTCGCCAACGTATTCGTCCCCGCACGCTTTACAAGAGATCAGATAGACTGTACCCGAACTCATGCAGTCACCGTCTCTACCATTGGGGCATATTATGCAATTTTTCGTTGCACATAGACGGTCGTATAGGCGGTTACGAACTAACTGGCGCCTTAGATTACTCGGTGGTATTTCGATTATCGTTACCGATTTCTCTGGACTGGCCCTTCTTAAACAGCGTTTTATAGCTGCACTTACTTCATTTGAAATGGAAGGCAGTATAAACAGGACCTTGTTGTCGCTAGAGTTATCGTTAGGGTACCTGTGGTTTCCTCTACACCTATCTCGAGCTACGGTTTCGTAGCCATTCGAAATGGCTATTTGCCGCGCCGAGTTCCGGGACTCCTCTCTTTGTTGTCTTCCTGTGCACACGCTGGTAGCTGTTCGATACATGTTTCTCACAAGCGCCATTTTCGTGTGAGAGGGATGAGGGGAGTGGTTATGAACTAGGAAAACTAAGTTACGTTTTTTGTTGTTTTTCTTTTTATCCTGGCTTTATATCTACTTAAATATTCGATCTTTTTGCTCTGTTTTAAAGCAAATTGAATAAGGCAACTTGTTTTCGCTTCTGTTTTCTTTTTTCTCTGAAATTTTGCTCGACTGACTATCATATTCTTTATTCGCGAATAAGCTGACGCTTCGGCGGATTTCGCCTTCCTCAGAGCCTGGAAAGGTCAAGTTGATAGCAATCTACTCGGCTAGGTTATAGAGGTGTCTGGCAGAGTAGATTGCTATCAACTTGACCTTTCCAGGCTCTGAGGAAGACGAAATCCGCCGAAGTGTCAGCTTATTCGTGAATAAAGAATAATAACACCTCGCGTTTGCTCAACAAAAATATAAAGAATTACTTGATCAATGCCGAGGTTAGTAGAAAGTCGGTCATGGGAGTGACCATCATACTTTTTGAACCATTATTCGTACTACAGATTCTATAGGCGTTTGAACTTTCGTATACTGTCCTCTGAGAACTCTTCAGATTCGTCTTCTCTTCCGTCGTTGAGTGAGTTGTGTGCGGGTCTTGCCGGTGACATTGAACATTTTGACAAAGTTCATCAACTGGCACTTTCTCTCTTCCGACTTTCTTTGGAATATCCAGGATTGCCCAGTGGTAAAAGGTCTGTTCTTTTGGACATTCTACATTTGTTAGCTTTATATCTTGTCAAAAGGGCTCGCGCAGCGCAGTGATCGGAGACGCCTTGTAATACACATGGGATCGATCCCTGCGCCTCAGGCCCACCAAGTCTTCCATCCATACGGGATCGGCAAGTTGGCACCAGACTTGTCTAGAAAGATAGCAGCACTGACTCAATACATCTGTAGACTACCGCGAATAGTTGTAAGGGCCAAATATGCATTCATTTACCTCCAGCGTTGCTTAATGAAAACGAATAGTTGGTGCATCCTATCCTTTTATTATATCTTGTCTTACATTATCCGTCTTATGATTTTCGAGAAAGTGGGTGCGGCCACTAGTGTTAGACTTCTTCGAAAATTGGACATTTCGGTATTACATGTGAAATCGGTTGTTCATTGTACAAGGGATATTCCTTTCTCTCCTAGTAATTTCCAAAACGTGTTATAACTGTTGCTGTAGCACAAGGAAGGGTTTTTGTTGAAATTTTAACAGCGGTTGCTTAGTAGATAAAGTTAAATATTCTCTGCAACAAATGTATTCCACATGCTTCATGATTTATGAAATGTGGTTTTTGGCTGTACCTATGTATGTAAGATCTCTATTTTCTAATCCAAACACATCTAGGCCTCCCAACAGTTTACTGCCTCATCGTGGCTGAGAGATATTTCTGGCTGTCAGGCTGCGATCTACAGCGGGTGAATTCATCTTCCCAGCTGGGTCTCCAAAGCTAAGAAGGAGTCCGGAGTTTCCATGATGAAACCCAGCTATGAGTAAACCAATACCAGTGTCGTCACAGTCCCGATATCAAACAATTCCGTATGGTGGAAAATCTCCCTCTGACCCACAAGAACGGCGGCTTTCTGTGATGGCGACGAGCTGGTGCAAACTTTGGCTAGGCTGATTTCAGAATTCCAGTGAACCACAATGGCCAGCGCAACAAAACTCCGAAAAAGTGGAAATTATGCTAGGGCCCTCACAACCAGTGAAGACGAGCCATCTAAGTACCCAAATATCGAAGTGAACAAATCTAAAATCTTCTCGAAAACTCTACTTTTATAATTCTTTCATTCTTTACGTTGCACATTTATTTTTTTCATACTGTTATGTTTGTTCAAGTTTTAGAAGTCGTACTCGACTCGGTCAAACTGTATCCGAACTGGGTGTCACGGAACAAAACTATTCCGAATTAATGCGGATGTTCTTGGCAACAAGGGATTCCCAAGGAGAAAAGGTGCCGGCGTTCACTATCCCAGTGGATTATACTAATTTTGGCAATTTTTTTGTTCCCTTATTCAAGAATCGAACCAGTGTAACGACATAAATTAGGCCCAGTCCTTATCATTAGGCGTTCTAATTCACTAAAATTGAAGAGACCTATTTCCTCTACAACATTCACCTTGTGATTTTTGATTCTACTGTGTTTAACCTTTTTTATTTTGTGAAAGTTTTTCTTACTTCAAGTCATTCCATCTACGTCACCAAAAGGGGATACTGTGGATAAGTCGACAATAGTTGAAACTTCAGCATCACCGTTTGAGATGGTTACAGCAAAAATCACTTAGATATTTGTATATAGATATCTGTATGTGCATAGATTAGATATATAGATATACTCACTGGTTTACTTAGATCTTTTCGAAGGTTAAATTTTATGTTTAGCATGAAGTAATGGATAGTAGTCTAGTGTTAATAGTTCTTGAATCTGAGTCCTAAAAGTACTACACGTTCACCTGTAACGATTCCACAGGCTTTCAGTAAGGATTTTTGGATCAGTTTTCTATTGAGTTTCAATTTTCTGGACGCTTTTACGGTTGGAATGAATGGAGATTTTTTGTAGTTATCTCATCTCTTGATCACTCACAACTTCAATGAACTCGCCGGGGAAGAGAAAGCAGCCATAATGGCGTTCCTCTGCAACGAACTCCTTTGCTGTCCTAATATCGTAAAGGAAATTGATCGAAATCTTGAAGAAGTTGGTCGATTAAAAGGCGATCGATGGATGAGGGACGGGAAGGTCGGTCTTTCATGGTCGAAAATGTTGTAGTCACAGAAGTTGAGAATTAGTGATAGGAGATATTTTCATGTTTTTTCATTTGACTCAAAGCAGATTTGAGGAAGCGAGCACTGAAATTGTCAGGACATGCTGTTATCTGGATTTCTGTAAACGTTCATTGTCTTCCCTGATTGAATAGCCATTTTCAGGCTCGAGCTCTCCGAGTTGTTCAGCGTAGGAAACAGAAAGCGGAACGCGGCATAATGCAACCCGCTGATTCTGATGGTCAGACACATGACGAACGACCATCGTCAAGAAATTCTGAAGCGTCTGATGGCAGTCGACCAACCACGCCCATCCCGACAACTAGGGACCGACGACTCACACCTGGTCTTGGGCAATGTGAAATTCTAACCGAAGAGGTGAGCTGGCGAAGTTGTCTTACAGCATCTTCTCCAAAAGAGTCGGAAAGTTTTACTTAATATTTTAGAACATGAACAAAAGTTGTAAAAAATGGTTTCAAAGAGGGAATAGAGGGAAGATCAATTCTAAGTTCTGTTTTTTCTAATATTTTTTTTGAATTAGTTGTGACAAATTCTCCATAGCTTACTTGTAGAGAAGAAAGGTCCTCATCCTTAATTCGTTTCGATATCAATATGACCGAATAAAGACATTTAATGAGTTAAAATATTAATAAGGTGTGGCGCAAATAGTATAGATTTTATTAATCGTTCAAGGAGGAGAACATGTCACCCGATCAACTCGAAGTGCTCATTGACTCTCTTAATTCGGAGGCTGAACATCTCAAGGAGAAAATCAACGAGTTATCGACGAAAGTGCGCAGTTTCCCGTTAGGATGTGATCGATATCATCGGTGAGCAAGAACATCTTCAGTTTTTTTGATTTGATTTAGTAGACCCTTAATCTCAACCGCTGTATTCTCCTATCGATGTCCATGGGACCGTCTTTATTCGACGTTCTAGCTGTGATCGGGGTTGGGGACTCTTTGGCTAGTCACTACCAAAGATTCGTGATAGTTTCATCGCCATGGCTCATATTTGGCAAAGTCGTTGAGGAAAAACCAGCTGGGTTTGTGAGCTCTGATACGGTGTTCTAAACAAAGTTTATTGCACATTATTACACTTACATACATTTACCACTATTGAATTTCACCTTTCATTAATAACATTCCAATATTTCAAACTCCTTAAAATTGCCTCTTAAAATGGGATGGAATCTTGCCACGCATTTACTACTAATATTCCTAGGTTTACGTTACAGCTGAGTTGGACCACACGCTAGCTCGCTGTTTCATTTTTACAGAGAATTGTTATTGTTGTTGTTCTACAGGCAGTACTGGCAAATCCCTGGTGTGCCATCAGTGTTGGTCGAGTCCGTCGAGAGTTCTGGTATGTCGAATCCGGCATGTAACACAGACGACACATGCTCAAAGGACCCGTCAGATCTTACAGGTTGGTTCAACCACCTTTCAAAACTACTACAGCGTTAATCACGTTGTGGTTTAGTCGGGTTAAACTGATTATCATCAGCAGAAGATTCTCGCTATCGATCTTGTTTTTCTTATATTTCTTTCTGTTGAAAAATGGCTTTTATTTCTCAGGAAACTTCTCACAACTAGAAGTAGGGCTATTTTTTATGTTCTTAATAGGCTTATATGTGGTCGTTGTACAGTATTTTGCTTCAGTAAGAATTTTTGTAAAGTTAAATAACCCGGTGATGTTTCGATGGACTTCCATGCCTCCAGTGGACTGAAAAATCATATTGGCCTAGACCTTACGCGTTCAGATATTTTCGAAACCTTACACTAGTAGTCTATGTCTAGGTTGCGATCAATTTCATAGTGACCCTTTCAAGTCTAGAGGGATGCGTAATCCTGCTAAATTTCATCGGATGCGCTGTAAAAACTTATTGTAGATTGCATCAAAATTTATTTAGCACTTAATCGTGGCACCGGTGAAAGTTGAATGTTGGAAATTTATCGACTTCTACCAAAAATTTCTGTTACATCACAACAGAATTTAATGTGTTTGTATCATACATTGTGATGATTATATTCTTCTCAGGGATATCCTATGATGGTCTGTGGCTTGTCTATAAATGAGAACTTTTTTAAGCCCCTTCGTTTGTTCATCCGGATGTGTTTGCATGCGTTGAGGATCTCGTTGATGACGTCGTGACTGGTTGTTCACACACAGATCGACGTAAACGCAAGCGTTTCCGACGTATGGACAATCCGTACAAACGAGGATGGTGGGCGGTGGACACGAGGTGAGCTGTAGAACTCTGACACGAACTTCTATATTTAAGAAAGAAACCCATTTTTCTGAGTAAACAAAACAGCTGTAGTTTTCTGCTGTTTCGTTATTGAACGTTAAGATTCGTCGATCTACTTACGATTTTTCTTACGTAACGTTACTGGTACCTCTGTCGAATATAGTCTTGTCTACTCGTATCAATTTCGGTCTCGTTCATCTACATCGCCCTCGATCAATCGGTTTAACGATCTCATGAGTTGCTAGTGTTCTCTCAGTCACAAGGCAGAAAAATGCTCCGATTCATAACTCCGGTTGCCTGTGGTGGAGAACTGGGAAGGATCTAGTTGCGGAAATCACGTTCTAGCAGCATTTTACGTCAGTGAAATGGGAATACGGTGATCCTCAAGTAGCAGTCGAACCCATAGGCAAACTTGGCCATCTTTATGGCTGCGGTTGCAAGACAACGAGACAAATAGGGTGGTAGACTTTTTGTAATGTGTGTACATGGGACTTCTAGGTAGTTACCTGTGTCAGTTTAATACTAACGTATAGAAGGAAAATACGAGCTTGGATCTGATTTCAAAAGAAGATGAGCCTCAAATAAAACCATGCAAACAAGGCAGTTTAAATTCATATTTCGATCAAGGTAAACCATCAAGTCCCAGCATTGATCTACCCTGTAGGAGTGCTTCATGATCCATCGACTTGTCTAACTTTCCTTTTTATCCTATCCAATGATTTTCGGGGCCTACTGATGTATCACACTAGTGCTTTCGACTACAGCCTCAGCTTAAGTGGATTCATTGCTCATTTGTGCCCCTCAGATTACTTCCACTGACGGGTGATCGCTACTGTCAAAGTCAAAGTAAAAGATTGGCTGAGAGAAAGATGAAGCAATACCTCGATTGGTGTAGTGGATGGCACGTGAGCTTTCGAAAAGGCAAATCAGTGGTTCGAAGAGCATCAGTGGTTCCAAGTTTTGCTCATATCTTAGCGTTGTGGTTCTATTTTACAACATACCCTGCCAAAGGAAAAATAATACGCCACAGATAAAAAAGCATTCTCAAATTATGTTTTTATTCTCCCAGATAAGTATACAACCATTTTGCCAACCCCAGCTGAGGCATGTTCGGAACCCAGAGGAGTGGAGCGAATGGCCTGATCAGGACCTCAATAGAACCAACAGGCAGATGTGTATTGCAGTTTTTTTTTTCAAAAGACATCATTCAAGAGCTCTCTGAGTAGTGCACACAGTATTATATTCTTGACGTCGATGAGGTATCAGCCAACGTTTCTAGTGCAGTACTGGGAGGACCATTCATCTGAAAAGATGGGCACGGATTTTTGGGTACGTTGATTGGTCGGTGGCTTCTTTGAGAGACCCAACATGCCATCCTGCTCTCATTCCGCTATCTAATTCGTTCTTCATGTTGTTCTCCATGTTCTTTGAGCGTCCAAGATACACGTACAAAGTGGTCTCTGGGCTCATCCGCTTTATCTGCTCGCCGACGCACCATAGGTTTTTCATGAATTGGTATTCTTCCGTTTTTGTGTGGTCCAACCATTTTTTCTTGATAATTGTCTCTATCTTGGGAAGATGGTGATGTTGACAGGAAAACGAATTGCTAAAAATTTTCCATCAATTCATACACCTATCTCGTTCCAATCGAGTGAGTTTATTATCCACAGCAATGCGGTATTAAACAGCTTCAGCGATATTGTGTCGTATTGTCGAACTCCTTTTCCTACGAGCATGGTTAGAGATCGATGGAAAAGTTGTATTTTCGTAGTGCAGTTCCGATTAAAGTCAGATAGAACAGCTTCACTCCTTCGACGGGTGCTGAGAGGATTCGTTTCGACATTATTAGACCCTTTTTCATAATCGGCAAAAGTCGAGAATAGTGGAGGTGGTATTCAGGGAAAAATTTTAAGGTTTGGATGTGGTCCAAGTGGCAATATCATTGTTGAAATCCTACTTGTTCTACTGGTTGCCCGTTATCCAGTGTCCTTGATATGCGCGAGAGGATAATCTTCGTGAAGAGCTTGTAGAGAACACTAAGCAAGCATATATGACGTTAGTTACGAAAACTCCTTCGATCACCTTTCTTGTTCGGGGTGGCCGCGCGCGACGTCGATAGGTCTGGGATTTTTTCCTTTTGAAGATGGAATATCATATGGGTTACGAGAAATGTGTATTGTGCATTCTAGCTATAAGAAAGTGTGTGGTGGTATTGTCGGGTTCTGGAGTTGTCCCTTTTTTCATGCTTTCTATCACAACTCGAACCTAAAAGAGAGGAATTCAAGATGGATCTTCTTCGTTGGGGTCCTTAGAAGGCTGAACCGGGATTGTAGAGGGGAAAATGTTAGTGTAGAAGTTTATCATTTTTATATCATGGCAGGAAGATTTGGTAAACTCATCTTCGAACATCGAGGGTGACACCAGAAAATACTAGCGCAATTTCGGCGGCATTTCTTCAGACATGTTCTTTTTTGTGGTGTTTTAACGGTTTCTTCATTCTGTATCGATGTAAGTCTTCCTGCAAAGTCCTTCTTCAGCTGCCATTTCATCAAGCTCCAGTTTCCTTCTTTTCTCGAGCAATTCCTTACTGGTAGTGGAGATACGATCTGATCTTCCAGCGTGAAGAAATGAAGCGAGTTCAGCACAAAAGACCTAATTGGTATTATGGATGGTCTATTGCTGTTCGGGCAATTTGATCTTCCCTAGAGTCTTGTCCTAACCTTGCGGGAGCGTCTTGATCTCTTCACGACGAGTGTGGATCTGAGGGAAGCATTTGTCCGGCAACGATTTTTTCGCTGGATCTTCCTAGTAGCTGATCTCGACACCAGACACCATATTAGAACCGAAATCAAAAATGAACGGCTAAATGGAAAAAATGAAAAAATGACCTACCGCTCAAGGACGATATTTAGTCTGTGTACCTAGATTTGCGAACCCCAAACACAGCCAACCCACTGAACTAAACGCGCCTGAATTTGTACTATATTGATAATATTTGTGTGATTTTGGATATTTTATGGAATTTATTATACACTGACTTTGCAAGATTTTCTAACAGTGTATTTTAGGGAAGCGTTGGAGTCCGTGCGCAGTAGCCTTCATGGACGTGGAATTCGTGAACGTATTTTGCATCGACTTCTGTGCAAGTCATGGTTCCTTAAGGATGTTAAGCTTGGCAGAGGTCAGTGCGTGGAAACATGTGGAAGGTCTTTAAAAATTCTAACTGAAATCGGTTCGTCAGAAGCTATTCGTCCTGATTAATTTGCTTTAGCAAATCGAAATGTCTTTTGTACATGTCAATGAATAAATTAGATCCATAAATATTTTTAAATACATATGATAATCATGTGAATAAGTAGTTTTTTCATTTGTGAGGTTTTGATCGTTATTCAATTTCAACCTATATGGAGCTCTAACGATGATAAGAATTGGCCGGAAAATGGGTTTGATTTTTCCTAAACATTTTTAAATGTGAAATAACTCTGTTACGATTGGAAAGCTTTGTCGATCTAGATTACACTAAACTATCGTGCTGAATAACTGGGAAAACAGCTACTGTGTGTTTGTATTGTAGTCGATCTGGAGAAGTTTGGTGATGAAGTAGATTGGAATGAGGTGACAGAAAGGAATAGAAACGCCGTACATCGACAAGTTGACGAGTTGATAGCGAGAATCAACAGTGCTAAAATCTTCATAAAAGGTTGGGTTTTTGTATTTTTTTCACATTCCATACCTTCCTATGGAATCTAACTCTCAGGTACCGCGAATGCTCATCTTCGAGGTGGCGCTGGTCCGGATAGGTCTCTTGCAGCTTTGAAGCTGAGAATACTGAGTTGCGAACGAGCAATCAGTCGCAACTACTTACGACCAAGCTTTTTCGTTAGGTAAGGCCTTATTTTTTCTGTATGACGGCGTTTTTTGTATTTTTTTATAGCTTAGTTGTAAATATTTAGTGATTTTTGTGTTTTTAAGTCCTCGCTTAGTTATGGAATTGGTTAGCCGACTCAGCATGCTGGAAACTGATATAACTTTTATGCTTTATTCAGTTTCAATTGCTCATCATGTTTCCTTGTGAGTTTATAGCTTTTTCAGTGATAAAAAATGCTTGGCATACTCATTGGAAATCGAAGGTATGGCACGTAAGAAAGATTTGGTTAATACGGAAGATGAAGATGAACGTGATGATGAAGACGCGACGGAAGAATCGGAAAAAGATGATTCGGATAGACGTGAAACCATCGAACGATGGCGATCTTATGTGGAATCTGCCGAAACGCCAGCTGAGCTGTCGCTTGCTGTTCAGGTACGACTAGAAAATAATGATTGTGGACAGGACGGGAAATAACGAATGAGAAAATCGACTCCACTGGGAAATCGAACCATCGACCACGTGTACATTTCACGACACCACAGGTCTCGCTCTCGTTAACATAACAAACCGGCTATTCCGTTATCTCATTCCAATAATGTAGCTCAGAAATCAGTTTTCTTGCTTTACTATCGATGTCTCGTCAACTGATTAACGACGATGAGATTTTCTTTCTGAGTGTTATTTTCTCGAGTATTTAGATGATCCTTCTCAACGGTTTACCGCCACATCGTGCCTGGGACGTGTTCTTGGGTGTCTGGCTGCGATGTACAGCAGGGGGATTCATACCGCCGACATGGCCCTCCAAGTTGAGAACTAGTCCGGCGGTCTATCAGGAAGCCCAGCTAAGAGAAACCAATACCAGAATCACTACCGTCCTGGCATGAAATTCGCATGGTGGCAAATCTTCTTCTGATCCACAAAGCTGGCGAGTGCCTGTGGTGGTGACGTTCTGAAGCAGACTTTGACCGGACTAACCTCGGGACTCCGGGAGACCACAATGACTAAACCAACAAAACTCCGAAATTTTGAAATTATGCTGGAACCCACACAACCAATGAAGACGATCCATCCAATTATCCAAGTAAATTGGATGATATGTCTTCTCGAATAGCGGAAGCATTATCTCTGTTAGGTGGTACTTTCCTTAGGTCAGAAGCAGCCGTGCAGGGACTTCTGAAAGGGTGGCCACTTGCTATTGTGAATGAAGTGTTTGCCTTCATAGGTATTGATCTCAGGACGCTAGAGTTCGGAATTGATCAACAAGTCGATAAAGCGATAGATTTGGCATAGCTTTAAAAGCTTAATGTTCCTTCGGAATATTACGAAGAATCTTCATCTTATTATGAATTTCTGGTGGTTTTTTGTATATTTGCTGTTTCGACTATGCATTAAAATATTTTTTGGTAGGGCGTGTGACAGAGCTTCTTTTGTTTCAGTTACTGCTTTTTAAGGACGATTTCCGTTTGCGGAAATTTGTAAATCGCTCGTCGTTAGAAAAATTTGGCGTTTCACAAGTAATGCTATCGTAATACATACTATTTTTCTTGCTACTCTCCAACTTTTCCAGCATGTTCTTTTTTTCTTTTTTTCGATTCCGATCTTATTCGTCCATTTGTAGATGCTGAACTCATCCGTGGCTTGGGAAACGGTGGCGATTCTACGTCTTTGTCAGATCTGCCACAAGCGATGCGATGAACCGTCGACGACATTGAAGTGCACAGCGTGTCGACTCAACTATCATCTGGGTTGCTGTAAAGTCAGTCAGCTAGCTAGCCGAATGTACCCAGTTTCGAAGAGCTCGCTGACCAACAGAAATCGGATTAGAGTCGGCGACTTGCATTGTTCTAAACGCGTATTTTTTCCATTGTTATTTTGCCGCGAAAAATTTATATGCCATACTTTTCGTTTCCGGTCAATAACTTGTCGAACACATGTTCTGTCTGACGCGATCTTTGAAGTGCAGATATTTGATCATATACATGCAGTCACTTTAAAAAAAACGCATTGGGACAACTTTTCCGAGCAAGCCGCAGTCGGTAAAAATTTTGGCCCACGCACTTGTGTTAGAGACTTTTTGTTGAATTTATGGCGTTATGCTTGACCTAAGCTTAATTTCTATTCGTATTAGTAGAGTTTATTTTCAAAATAAAAAATAATGAAGCTGTCGGCGTTGATCACTTCCCGAGGGATGCGCCATGGATTCAACTTCATTAAGTATCGGTAAAGGTTATTGAATGAAAATCTGGCCTATTGCTTGCTCAACAAGAGTATCGAGAACTATCTAGCGTATAAAATGACTCGCGGTGGCCTACCGATGTATCGAGTAAGAGTTACTATCTTCTCAGACAAATCTGGTACCAGTTTATAACCACCAAGGAAGAGAAATCTTGGTGAGCCTTTGGGGCAGGGTCGAACCCATGTGATTATTGCAAAGCGCCTCTAACTATTGCGCTAAACGCTCGCCATCGAGTTTATTTTTATCACATTATAAGCTTTTTGTTTCCTTTAGCTCATTAAGCATTCGATCAAGAAATTTTTTTGGTCGTCAAGTGTAGCTTTTTGGCAGTTTGACTTTTCTTATTGACGTCAAATCTTTTCCCTTTGTTATTGGAAAGGCACCAACCATACATACTGCTGAAACAAATGATGTCGTCTTCACTTTTTATTTACTGCTCATTCTTTTTTATTGGCAAGGTAAAATGTGAAATATAATCAAAATGACGCCGAGATATTTGCAAAACTCTGGGCTGCTGGTATTTGCTGTGAGGATCAAACATGCTATTACTCTTTCCGTGGGTTTCCCGGGATTGCTGATACCACTTATAGATAGGTCAATAACACGGCTGAGAGGAAGACGAAACGAAGGAGTCGCTTGGGGAATGATGAACGCATGCATTATCCCCGGAAAGGGTGATAACGTGTTTAATCCCTACCTCGGACACCAGTGGTCCGGAGCTTTCCAAATATTTCAGCACCATTGTGATTCTATTTTGTTATATAGAAGAAAAGGCGGAAATAATGAACGGCAATGAGATCATTATTTACTACAAAAATCTATTCAAAGTCAATTTTCAAGCCACAAGTTTCCTTTTGCATCTGAGTCACATGAAACCTGTAGAGATAGATTTTTACAGTTATAGAATTGTATGGTAACATGTGCACAGAAGGCGTGACTAAATCGACTCTAAGAAGGAAATCAAAATCTCAGTTTCCCATGTTGACAGTCATTCGCTTTAGTTTTTTGTTCTTTTTAATATAACACTTTAAATACATCGTTTTTTTTGCATATTTGAATATTCCCACATAAATTAATGTTTTTAATCACTAGAACTGTTTAGTCGCCGCAATCTCGTGAGTGGTTTTGTCCAGCTTGTGTGGAAGTGTCAACTCAGGTGCCCACGTGTCTCATCTGCTCCCGTCAGCACGACTATCTAGCAGTGTGCAGGTTTTCTTTCTGAGCATCTTCCTTTTTTCTTTTGCTATTATTTTTCAGTTCTTTTTTCACTTAAATATTTTAAAAATCTTCTAGAAAGATTGTTCTGAAAGAATGTTTTCGTAACACTAAGCATTTTGGATTCGAATTGAAATTTTTACAAATCGCGAGATAAAATCACTACGGTATTCCGTTCATGCTAATCATTGAACTAACAACTTCACAATTTGAATTTTTTATTTACTGCCTACGACAATTTTTCACGGTGATGCTAAGATGTTGAAAAGTTCTCCGGATCGCAGGTGTTTGCAGTGGGGATCGAACGCACTATTATCCATCCTGGGGGCTAATGCGTCCACAACCACACCATGCGGGTCCTTCGTTTCGCCTATCTCTCGGCCAATTATGTATCGACCACTGCGACCAGCAATCCCCCGTCAAAAACTTGCGGTGGAGTTCTGCAAATATTTCATCATCAATGCGACTTTGTTACTTTTCTTCCTTTTCCTCCTTCCTTCGACCTTGCACACCTAAAATGTGTAATTGTAAAGTATATTAGTTCGAGAAGTTTCGAAATTCTATGCAACATAGTGTACTTCATTACGCCTTTCATTAAGGTTGCCAATTCAGTCTCGTTTCGCCTCATCGTCCAGCATATCTCTACATCTCACTGGGGCTTCAGAAACCCTTTATCTAGGCGAACACCACATTTGGGTTATCGTCGGTTTTCTTACCAGAGTTTAGTTTAGGCAGCACAATTTCAGAGCATCTGAATACTGAATGTGAACATTAATTAGTACCTTTTTTATATTCTCGAAGTTTTTGCGCTGTTCTTTAACTGTTACATCTTAAAGCAATTTATTAAACCTCCTTTATACATAGTTTCTATGTATTCATGTAAAATCGTTGGCCTCCTGAAGAACTTTCACACTCATACATCGTACTTTTCCTCTTTTGTTTTATGATTTTGTTTTCTTCTAGAAAATGCTATCATTTCTTCCACTTCGACTGCGTAGGTGATGCATCCTTTGATTCTTATAAAGACTTCACGTGCCGGGGTTGCGATCCCAAGGTGAGCTGATTGCTGTTCTTTGTGAAAATTTTGTCGATAACATTCTGATTTCTCTTTTATGTTTTGGTACTACCCCGTTCTGTTCTCTTCGTTTCTTTCTGATGTTTTTTCATTCAAATTGATAATCTTATTATGCTCTAATTTTTAACATCTCTCGTTATTCCTAAGCACTTCTTTGGCAGACCAGTTTATTTTTCAGTTATTTGAACGACGAGTGATCGCTTACGGTGAAAGCGACGATTATATTGAAGCAGACGATTCCGCTGACACGACTGAACATCACCATCATGGTCACCAAAACGGACAACACCCATCACATGGACGAGATGCACGGAAACCTGTAAAGCGAAAAGCCGAAGCACCACCACCGGTCGTATTTCCGATGGAAATGAACGCAGATCTGTGCAGGTATGTCGCTCTGTCGTTGTCGCTAATTCCCTTTCCTTTTTCGATTTAAGTTGGGACGGAAGCCGCTCAACATATTCCATTAATGAAAGTCCGCTGATATTTATTTATCATGCTTCGGCATTTCTTCTCTTGGTTTATTATTCGTTCAAAAAATTGGTCGAGATCATGCATCGCTGTGCAGTTGATATTTCAGTTTGTCGTCTTCTGTCCTCACTAAGCTGAATGTTGGTCAAGCGTGGGCTTCCATGCAATGCCGACATAACTGAGCTAAGGCTTTTCTCGGTCCTCATCACATGCGGTTTCTGTTTCGTTTGGATCTTAAGAGAACAGCTACCCGCCGTTGCAACTAGAATTCTTCGAGGACGGCAGGGATTTCTGCAACTGGTCGACCGACCAAAAGTGAACGTGTACCATGAGAGTTTGAATAAGTACTTGGATATTTGGATGGCTCTTCTTCACTGGTTGTGCGGACCCCGGCAAATTTTGCATTTTTTCGGAGTTTTGCTAATTTAGCCATTATGGTTGCCTGGAATTTCGGGGTTAGCGTAGTCAATGTCTGTCCCAGGTCGTCACCAGCATATGCACTCGCCGTCGTTGTGGATCAAAGGGAGGTTTACCACCATGCGACTCGTTTAACACTGGGATGGTAGTGAATCCCGGTAGACTTGGACTAAATAAGGAAAAAAAAGTTCGGCGTTGACTTAGCATTCCACAATGAATGTGCCATTTATTCGACCTCATCAAGCGAGCATCATAGAGGTTATTGAATGCATATCTACCCTATGTCAAAGCCTGCGCGTGTCCATCGATGAGTCGAATCAGTGCTGCTATCCTGCCAAACGAGTTTGGTACGAAGGAAATGGATGGCTGTGAGCTTGTGGCGCGGGAACGAACCAGCGACCGCATGAACATTACAGGGTACTTCTAACCGCTGCACTTGCGCCTGTTTATTGCCCGTTATGCCCGTTTATACTTCTTCTCTCATTGCTCATTGGTACTAGTCTTTGAGAGAGCTTTTTTTTCAGAGCGATGTTGGACGAATTGGAATGTCAACCGGGTGTTGGCCCGTTTCTGGAGCCGGTGGATTTGGATCTTGTCCCTGGTTATCGTGAGACGATTGCTAATCCCATTGACATAGCGTCAATCAGGAACCGAATAGATGCGCTGTGGTGAGTGGCGTTATTGGTCTTTTGTTCTTATTTTTTCTTATTATTATCGTTATGACTTATATTCTAGGAGAGGGGTTCATTACTCAAATGTGATTTTTTTAGAATATAGGTTGTTAAATATTTATAGCTATGAAACACCGGACGATTTTGCTGCCGACATGGAATTGATGTTCAGCAATTGTCGTACTTTTAATGAAGATGATTCTCCTGTCGGAATTGCTGGTGTGTGGGCTTATTCGTTTTCTTTTTCTTTTGGTTTTTATTCTTTTACAAAGGGAAAGAAGAGTTTCTTTATGAACAAAGTTAGAAATGACTTACATGCATTAAATGTTTTTATGTTGCAGTTCGAGCGTTTCTTTTTCCCTGCTGTCTGTTTTCTTTCCTGGTGCAGTTGTCTTAGAGTTTGTGTCGGTTATGGAAACAACAGAGAATGTATCGGTTTTTAAAATTTCTTTATATACGTATAACGTATATACACATACACATATACTCGACACTTGACACTTGAATCGCCCTTCCCCACTGGCTGTGCGGACCCCAGCATTATCTCCATTTTTCGGAGATTTGCTGGTTAAGCCATTGTTGTTCTCCGGAATCCGAGGTCAACCTGGCCAAAGTCTGCCCCAGGTTTTCACCACCACAGGCAGTCGCAGCCCTTGTGGATCAGAGGGAGATTTGCCGTCATGCGACTTTGATACCAGGACGGTGGTGGATCCTGGTATCGGTTTACTCTCAAATAGGCTTCCTGATGAAAACGTCGGACTCCTTCTCAGCTTGGGAGACCCTGCCAGGGGATGAATCTCCCGCTGTAAGTCGCAGTCCGACACCCAGGAACACCTAGCTACGATGAGGCGTTGGGAGGCATACACATATATACACATATATGCAAATATATATGTATATAGATATAGAATAATTCATATTAGTTGCCAATAGATTCATGATTGGAGATAAGTTCGAAATCGAAAGTCACCGATGGTGCACGGTTACCCGGCAGCCAGAGAGAGGCTGGGACGGCCCGAAGGGGTTCACAAGTGGAACGTGCAGAGAATCCGTCGTCTATCATTCAGTGAATACTACGAACCACAAAAGGGTTGTTCAGTGGGCACACTAAAAGTTGGGCCTATAAAATGTATGACTAGTTGTTAAATAATTTTTGATCCATAGCGAAATCTCTATCTCTGAGCAGAATGTTTTATGTGTGCAGTTATCGAGGTGACGGATCTGAATAGTTTTGCTCTGGCATTGTTACTGAAGAGTTTCTGAATTTAAGTCCAGTTAGAGATCACTTAGTAAGGTATAAGATAGATACCAGTTGAACATTTTCTATTTTTATATTTTTGCTCACCCTGCTTTGTGGGGAAACATCAGGAAAAGCCCAAATCAGTTGTGTCGTACAAGCCTTAGGTGTTCAGTAAGGTACGTCGGTTGAGGGACACTAAGAACATAATAATTTTGGTTATTCAGCAAACATTGCCGGAAGGCTGGGTGTAGTCGTAGATGTAAAATACCACCCAATCAGATTCACTTATAGCATCAAATATAAAAATATCCATTCACCCCTTCTCCATCCCCCTTCACTACCATTACCTGTATCACCTATATTCGCTACCATGAACATGCTTATCAGGGGCAACTCATCCACTAGGAAAAGCGCGTGCTACGTAGCCATACGACTAACTACCATTAGATTTCATAAATTGGGAACATAAATGTGGCTGTCATAAAAATACGATAAGGTAGCGTCAAAGGAATCCTACGAAATCTCGTTTTCAGGTGCGACACTGCAGAAATTCTACCACAAACGCTGGCGGCAGTTGAAGTATAACTTTAGCAAACGGTTAAAACGTATGCGTCATTCGTTATGAGGTTTTGGTTACTTCAAGGGAAAAAAAATGAAAAAGAATTCTACTTTCTGTAACGGGACTCGCGCCAACCATCCAGCTGACATGCTGATCGTGTCCTATCGTACTTGAGATGAGCGGGTGTTATCTATCGAGAATACTGCCATCTCTTTGGTTGCTGTCTGAGCATGTTTAGACGACTGTAATCTATAGAAACATAATTCTCCTATCGTCAAGATTCTCACTGGTTTCTTTTTTCTTTTGCGAAGCCTCCGGTATTTAAGAAGGATATTAGCAATATTTAACGATGCCTAATGGCTGAGCCAGACTTAGCTAACTTATCTAACAATTTTTCCTTTTGTAGTTCTTTCCTCGTCTCTTTCTTACTGTATGAATTTGATTGGCAAGGATTATACTATCAACTTGAACTCAGCGGAAATTAGTACTTTTACCAGAACTTTAATTAATTTATCCCTCTGTGTACTCGTTACTTTTCTATTTTTTCTCCTTTCTGGTTCTCTGTTTTTTCCCATCATTGTTTTCAAATAATCAGAGCTAAAGTGCTCCAGTTTTGCTTTATATCTGTCTTGGCTTTGAATTTTTCTAACGTGCATTCCTTGTATATGATGTATATATATATTTATTGGCAGGTATTTTTTCTGTACACGATCTAACGGCAATATCGATTAAACCACCGTATACTCATCGTGAAATGTTTCTCAATGGTGCATTTTGTTTTTTCCTTTACTTTATTGTTGAAAGGATTAACTGTGTTTTAGTCCAGTATTATTTTGACTCTTTCATATACTGCTGCCCATTGTCATCAGCTTTAAAACCTCTAAAGCGTCTCCGGAATGTTTTTAAGTGCTTGGAAAACTGTTTTGTCGAATTTGCTAGCATTATTTTTCTCTCTTAAGTCTATTCACCCCATCCCTCTCCTCATCATTCGCGACAACCATTTTTTTCTTGGTTCCTTTTTTTCTTTGAAATTCGGTGTATATGTGGGGTTTATTGTGAATCATTGTTCTATTGTCTCTCTCATTCTTTCCATGTGAGCTAATAAATTGCTCCATATATTGTTGTGTGATATGCCAGAGCTTTTAGCGATTTTATTTGAGGTATGTTAAGCACAGATTCTCCAGATATGCGAAAACGTAAGAGACAGGAAAGCTGGCGGTAGAAACACGTACTCCTCGGTCTTCGAATTCTATAGTTTACAAAAAATTGCAGCGATCAAATCCAAATCCTAACATTTTTGTCAGTTGTATCGCATGTTATTTCTTCACTCACCAGCTCAAAATCTTTCATTCCACAGACAAAAATTTTCAGCGTTGGTTCCTGTTCATGAATTGGGAGGGAGTGGCAATACACCAAAGAAAAAATCAAACTGTCACTCATTTCATTGCTACTGATCTCTATACGTCCACTGTCACATGCTAAAACTGCCCCTAGTTTTTTTAGGGGACAGTTGTAGTTTGCCTAATCGTGCCGTTCCATAGCTTTACTTTTGGCCGAGGTTCCGGAATAAGATTTCGATGTCCTCAGATTAGGGAACCATGCTGAGAAATGCAGATTATCCTGCTGCTACATATCAACAGCATCGCAGTTCGACGCCCATGAACATCTGTTAGCTGGGGCGGTAAACTATTCTTCGTGCGTCGTAAGTTAAACTTCAAAGACTGAGCCAACATGTACCGTTTATGTGCGAGTTTAGTGTAGTGCTCCCGTGAATATCCAGAGAACAGCCCAACGTTCTACACTTGTGCAGAATTCAACTGTGGGAGAAGTTTGTAGTTCATGGTAGAGCTCTCCTGGAAATTTTAACTGAGTTAACTGTTAACTTTCTATTTACTGCCTCCTATTATTTTTCACGCAAGATATCACGTGAAGTAAAAGCGGTATTATGGTGAGATATTTGCAAAACATGGGCTGGACTCCAGGCCAGATTCGGTGTCACTGTAAGGTAGAAGATTGGCTGGAGAGAAAGGCAAAGCAGCGACCTCAGTGGTGGAATAGAGGAATAATGCTTCTCGACATTGATTAATCCCTGAGGCATGCACCATGCATTCGACTTCATTAAGCAGCGTGCTATGTCTCGCGGTGACCTACCGATGTATCGAGCTAGTGCTGCTATTCTTCAAGGCAAACCTGGTCACTCGAACCTTGAGGCCTCAGATTTAGGAAGGGAGGAGGTATTTCATACAAAGATGGTTTTCGGAATGAGTTCGGTTATGTTGCCTTTTGTGAACTACTATTTTTAAATCATTTTCTCACTGATTACCACAAGGAGGAGGAGCTCAAATAGCGTTTTTCTGGCTTTTGTTTGGAGGTAGCGGTGTTGAATGAGATATGTTCAAAGGGTCGAACTGTCTTGAAATAAGCACAACTGGCTGGTGATGGTGAGTCGCAAATGATTTCATAATCAAGATAACAGGAAAAGAGAGAGTGAGAGAGGGAGAAGGAGAGAGGGAGGGGGAGAGAAACAGAGAGAGAGAAAGAGATGGAGAGAGGATATGAAAGGGAAAAAAGGGAAGGAAACGAAGAGACAGAAAGAGGTGAAGGTATGGATGTGAGGAAGAAAGAAAGAGATCTACTCATTTTTCTTCCACTATTGAACTGTTTTTGTATTACAATATGTTCGCTCTCTTATTTCAAATAATGGGCTCGTTTAAGATTCCAGTAGGACTCAGTCGTTGTCTGTCGTTTCTATGTGTATGAGGTCCGTGAGCATGGGTTAGCGATTTCTAGAAGTGACAGCGTATTTATTGGTTGAAGTACAGAGGCAGATACACTGCAGAATTAGTGCGTGTCTCTTATTGTGAAAATGAATATATCGGTTTCGTTTTGAAGAAACATGTTTTCTCAGGCCGACCGTACGTGCAACGGAGTCTCGGTAGCGTGTATATGCGGCCAGAAGCAAGGTCACTTGATCGCTTAGGTTTAGACAGTTTAAACTTTGTTTACTTTTTTATTTACTGCCTACTGCAGTCTCCACTTTTATTTTTTTACTTTTTGGTAGGGTATTTTGTGAAATCAACCACAACCATGCTGAGATATTGGCAAAACTTGGACCCCGAGCCACATCGAACCACGATTTCCCTTTCGGGGCTCATGCATTACACACTGCGCCATGGAGACCTTTGCTTCGCGTTGCTCTTAGGTAGCTTTCTATCTACCATATCTGTAACTATCTATCGGCAATCATCCGTCAGCGGGGTTGATCTGGGCAGCCAACATCGGCATTGAACCCTGTTAAGCTGAGGCTGCAGAAACTAGCTGAGAGAAACCCACAGCAAGGAATTCAGCAAATCTCTGCTGGAGAGAAATCGGCCGGACTTCTTTTCTTTGGACTCCAAGCCACGGATCTCCTTATATGAGAGATCTCGAGCCGGTTAGTCACGAAGCTACGTGGCCCGTCTCCAGGTAGCGGATAGGGGGTTAATCGCGGACCAAAAGCGATCTTTGATTCCCTGAGACGCCGAAGGATCCAGGGATGGAATTCCTGTTTCTGTTGCGCTGATTTGCCACATGCACTCTGTATTTGCTAGGCGTATTCATCCATGCGTGTGTGGGTGCGTTCTTGCTTACGCGATTGTATTCTACGAGCCAATTCGGGCAAAAGCCTGCAATCAAGTGACTGGGAAGTATATAGCAGACGGTTTGGAGTCGCCTTCAACAAATAAGCCCCATGTCCACTCTGGGAGAGCCTGGCAAGCTACCCGTCAGTATACCCAGCCCCGTGTTCAGAGCTCAGCAAGCTATGCGTGGGTATCAAAATGCTAAACACAGTAAAAAAAAAAAGCGGGCCTCATGCCTCTGACCCTGAAAGAGCCACCAATTTCGCAGCGTTGAGTAGGACGAGTACGGAGAGGCTACTAAAATCTCAGGGCCAATGGAAGCTATCTGGATTTCAAAGAACTATGGTGACGATCTGTACTTAAATGCACGTATGCTTTCATCCGAGTTATCGATAGAAGAGTTGCTCATGCAGGCAGAAGGATAAAGTACGACGTCAACGGCCTGGCCAAGACGAGAACACGCTAGCCCTTAAACGCCGTCTATGACACCGGAGAAGAACTGTTCCTCGGAACATGCGACAGTAGAGGAGTCGGCGGCGTCGGTGTTCTCGTCAACACGAGTTTGTCCATGAATATCAATTCATTAGAACAACTTACGACCAGAATCGGACGTTTACGATTAAGAAGATGTAGATCAATTCCTGCCTTGACAATCTTGGTCGTTTATGCGCCGACATCAAAGTATGACGAAGAAGAAGTCGGAGCGTTCTATATGGACTTGGAGAAGTTCTAGGAGAAGATCACACATTCTTCAAGGACATCATTGGAGATTTCAACGCCAAGATTGGGCCAAGAAGAACGTCTGAAGAGCGTCATATTGGGACCCACGGATTAGAATGGAACGAACAGGGTGAGCGGCTATCTGAGTCTATCATGGCGACCAAGACAATCCGTGGTAACTCACAATTCCAGAAGCCCCACTCTCAGCGCTGGATGTGGGAGTCTCCCAATGGAGAGCACCATAACAAAATAGACCACTTCATAGTAAATCGAAGCTTTTCCCTAACCGATGTCGCTGTTGTCCCAAAATTCTACACGGCATCAGACCATCGTTTCCTTCGTACAAGATTCTATTTCTCGCGGTAAAGGAGAAAAAGCCGCTAAAATTCCAACACCGAAGTCCCATAACTACCGTAAACTTGGATTTATTCAATTCATTAGTCGGCTGTTGGGAAGATGCCGTTGTCGATAACATCGACGAAGAATACGATGGGCTCATTCAGCATCTTCACGTTAGCGCTACGAAAGCTGAGAGTCCGAAAGTCACCAAGAGACAACTATCTCATGAAACAGTCGAGCTGGTACACCAGCGTGGAATCGAACGAGCTGCATGCAACCGCCAGCTCACATCTGTACTTGTAGAACAATGTTGCCAGGCGATAAAAGAAAACCATAAGAGTGAAAGGCAGCAGTGTTGGTCGAAGCTGGAGGGGCTGGGAAAAGCAC